CCGGGGCTCGAATCCAAGGTTCTACCGTAAACTCGGTCTGTAGCAATGTACGGTACATTTCTTGCTCAAGGAAATTCGTGGTAAAGACAAGCTTTGCCACCGCACCACTGAGAGTATGCACTGCGTCAACGAATCTAAAGCTACTCTTCCACTGATGTGAAAAAGTCAGAGGTTGTTACTGAAGTGAAGTACTTCCGAAGACATGTTTGGTTAAGTATCATATTGCCGCGCCTGGACCTGGTTATCGGGATTTGCGTAAACTTTGGTACGTTGACTTGGTGGAGTACTCGTGAAAACTTAATTTGCCGATTTAACTATTTACAAATTAAATGCATGTTTATTGTTTGTTTATCGTATGCTAAGCGTTGTTTACGTAGCGATGTTTTTGCGATTGCAGCTGTTCAACTTGACGAGGAACAGTCGAACTAGTGGTCAGCAGTCAAGTGTGGGCAGCAGTTGCTGTGAGAGCGCGCACAGTTACCTTCTTCGAAGCCAAACGGCGCCGACTTACGCACGTTGGTATCGCGGCATCGGCGACACGGCGTGCTGCTCATCGTCGTTCGACATGCAGTCAACGATCACCCCCACGCCAAACAATATCCGGTCGTCGCCCGACTACTCGGACCAGTTCTACGAGGTAGAGATTGGCGACACGAAGATGCTCATCCTGAAACGTTACCAGAACCTGAAGTTGATCGGCGGTGGCGCTCAGGGTGTCGTTTGGTAACACTGCTGCGCGGCGTCTGCCAGTTCTTTCTGTCTATGACTTGTGTACCCCGTTGTTTTGTTTAGCGCCGCCTATGACAAGGTGATCAATCAAAACGTGGCCATCAAGAAGCTCAGCCGGCCTTTTCAGAACGTCACTCACGCCAAAAGGGCCTACAGGGAATTCAAGCTGATGAACCTCGTCAGCCACAAACACGTAAGCCACACGATATTGCTGCTCGCTGTACTCTGGACAGACTAAACAGCGACCGGGTACGGATATGAGCGGAAGACATCTGACGTCAGATCGGGTCTTGTTGCATATCAAAACTACGAGTTTAGCACCTTGACTGGGTTTCAAGACGAATGAGCACCATTCTATAAGCTAACAAACTTCTTTCTGTTATAGGCACATCCATTGGGTTCGCCTTTTCCGTATTACGATAGGAAGACAGTCGCCATTCCGGCGTCCCGATTCATGGTAAAAATCTTCTCGCTTTCGACAGTAGTCATTATGCGGCACTGAATGGTTCTGTCAGACCGTTGTTAACCCCTTCCGTCTTGTTTCACTCCATCCGTCATCATGTTTAGTTTTCGGACCAATGCCAACTGAACCTCTCAGCTTTATCGTTTCCTCTGTTTCTTCGTTTGTAGAAAGCGTACTCTTTTGTCAAACGTAACTGCCTCACAAACACTGAACGTACGTCACATATGTCTTTCAGTGTCGTCGTTTATTTAACGACAGATAATTTGAAGTTAGATCGAATTTGAAGCTAGATTCTTTTGGATTGTATCGACCGGGATCGCTCATTCGTTAGAGTGTCGAACTCTAAACTAAGAGGCCACATAGCCTTTAAGAAAGTAAAGCACTCCCGGCTGGTAATATAGAAATGTGTGTCAGCTGTGCACTTCATGGAATTGTGGTTGCCACAAGTGGCCGAGGGGACCGACATCCCAACAGTTACATGCTTTCCCGTTTTGAAATATTTGCATGTATATTCCGGTTTCATTATGGAACTGTAGTCAATTTGGTGACCCGTATTTGACGCATAGCTTCGAATTTCTACAGTTGTAAAATTTGATCACTTTCAGCTCTCCTTTACCATTTTTTAGTTAGCCAGCAGGGCAAGAATTGGTTTAAGAAGGAATTATGTTCCAGTTGCCTCCATCTCACCGACAGAGGGGAATAGCCCTGAAAGTTCCTGATCTCTATGCCACAATTGAATCGCTAATTGATTCATGGCAGCGTGGTATTTTAATTGTCATTTAATGTTTAAAGAAAATTTAAAAAAAGTTACCCTAATGTTCTAGATTAGCTGCTATGAATCATATCCTTTAAGTTTTGCCAGTAAGTGTCACATTTCAAATACTGATATCGGATTTACTCGGCGAAGCGTATGTTGTAAGGAACTAAAACTTTCCTACTTTAAACCGAGATTTGGCTTTTAATTTTATTTTGACTTTACTTCATTGACAAAGCATGATCCCGGATGTTCTAGGTAGCCATCACGTAGTAGCTTTCCATTTCCGGGATGATCATAAGTTTCAAATTTCAATATCTGATTTTGCGTCTACTTGGCGTAAGCACACTACGCTTTTGCTTCTAGTCACCCCTGAGAAACCCTTGAAGCATGTCTGACTTCATGGCGTTTAGCACCGGCAGCACATTTGATGAAGCACCGCATCGTTAAGCTGCACTGGATCGGGGCGCATTCGAGCACCAATTAAATCTGCCACTGTCCATTGGCCAATATCCAGACAAAACATGTCCCTGATTTGTCGGAGTACCCACCACGTGATAGCTATGCAATTCCACAGATAAACATAACTTGCCGTTATAGCGTTTCGTTGTTTTTGCTAGCTCAGAGAGGCAATCCTGCTACCAGGGCACCGAAGATGCTACAATAGTACACGAATTCCGCATATGCGTGTTAGAACGATTGCTTACTGAGATATCGGTGGGAAGGGAATGACAGATTCAGCATGTCCTGTGAGGCAAAGCACACGCATACTGCCTGTGTTGAGAGTGCATTGGGCAGTCAGGCTGAATCTGGTCAAAGCTTCTTTGCTTACCCCGGAAGTCGTTGTGGTAAATGACGCTTTCTAGGTTACAACCCTTGATCTTTTGACCGTCAATCTTTCTACATACCGACAACTGCCCTGGTTCTGATATAATTCACACCTCTCACGTAGCCTGTATTCTGTTCTCGTATGGTCAGGGAAGCAGTCAGTTTGTCACTGGATTCTTTCAACAATCAGAGTTGGTTGTTAGAAAAATAATGCTTTGCAGTCCACAGCTGTTGTGTAACTTATAATTACGTGTTATTTTATATCATTTCCCTGAACCAATGTAACCATTCGAAGTTAAAGGTGGTTTCTGCACTACTTCTACTTGCAGTCTAACTTTTCATTCTTTTAATTATGTGAAGATTTTATGCAGTAAAACCACACAGATACTCTTTTGACCATTTTTTTTGTTTCTATATATAAGATATAGCTAAAGCCCGATAATTATCACAAATTGTGAAACTAGGCACAGAGAAGCAAGAATTTTGTGCAAATTAACAAATAAATTGTCTTCAGGGTGTGTTGAAACTACGTCATGTCGTTACCATTAGCTTGTTTTTAATCCGTGTACATTTTACTTTAGATCATTAGTCTTCTGAACGCGTTTACGCCGCAGAAAACTCTCGAGGAGTTCACCGATTTGTATATCGTCATGGAGCTGATGGATGCGAACTTGTGCCAAGTGATCCAGATGTCGCTCGACCACGAGCGTATGTCATTCTTGCTCTACCAGATGTTATGCGGCATCCGCCACCTGCATGCCGCTGACATCATCCACCGTGACCTGAAGCCAAGCAACATCGTCGTCAAGAGCGACTGTTCGTTGAAGATCCTCGACTTTGGCCTGGCCCGCAGCACTGGCAACAGCTTCACGATGACTCCGTATGTGGTGACGAGGTACTACCGAGCGCCGGAGGTCATCCTCGGCATGGGCTACAAGGAGAATGGTAGGTTGACGTTACGTCATTATTGACTAAAATTCGCGATTGTTTGAATATAGTTGATCTGTGGTCGGTCGGTTGCATCTTCGGCGAGATGATCCGTGGCTCTGTACTCTTTCCTGGAAACGACCACATCGACCAGTGGACCAAAATCATCGAACAACTAGGTACGCCATCGCCCGAGTTCATCTGGCGTCTACAGCCGACGGTGCGCAACTACGTCCGCAACCGGACGTCGTACGCGGGCTACAGCTTTGAAAAACTTTTTCCCGACATACTGTTTCCCGGGAACAGTTCAGATCCGCGTTTGACGGGTAAGCATTCCAGGTCGTTAGTGCTGTCGATAGTATGACCATCGGTAAGACAGGGCTGAACTGAGCTGATTTTTCATGCATTTGATAATGCAACGGTATTGTGTTCAGTGGATTGTGCGAGTAGGGGTAGACGACGCATTCCTGAAATCACCTGTGACTTCCGTGAAGAAATACCCCGATATGCCCTGAGTCGATTATCTCATCTTCTAAATTCACCTTTTTCTGACCTGTAGAAGAAACGGGAGCTGTAAAGAGCTCTGTGATAGCGTAATCTGAAGCCCTTGCTGCGTCGAACCCGGAAGAAAATTTGTCATACTCTTCCTTCGTTGCATCTGTGCTATAGCGACTAATATACCATAAGCTAACTGCAACTTTCTTTGGATCGTTTCAGCTGATAAAAACGTGTGGCTAATTCTTCCACTCACCTGTCTAATTTTAAAATGTAATTTACCATCACCTAAGTAAAGCGAGTAGACCCTGATGGTATGTTATTTATTATATTCGAATTTAGTGCTCTACTTATTACTTGGTAGGGCAACCTCTCCTTACTCTCTGAAACAGAGATCCTTCAGTCATTCAGTTTCTTCGACCACTTGTCCTTTTGACACACGCGTCAAACAGTGGATCAACGTTCCCGGTCTTGTGGAAGCTATCAGCTTTTGCTGTTGATTACCAGAGCTTTGGGCCAGGTCCGTCAAATGCCCTTACCCCATACGTCATTTTGACCTTCTGGAGACTTCGACCGGTCATTTGTACAACCATTAGTTCTTTTGCTTTCCTTTCTACAGCCATTTCCAAGTCATTCCCAAACACTCGCATCTGTAGGGCTATACATCTGCGGCTATACGGTAAGGTTTTTTTTG